ACTTAGGCAGCTCAAGGCAAGCTGGTAGGAACTGAGAAATAAACGCCCTGACCGCCTCTTCTCCTTCCTCACCTCTCCACTCTGCTGGGGTTCCCCATCCATTAAATTCAACCGGAAGCCTGAGTACAAGGGAGTCTGTTTATATAAGCCAGGCTGGGCAGCAGCCGGGGACTGAGGCCAGGTAAAGGGTGGGTCTGAGGGTGGAGAGACAGAAGGAAGGCCCAGCATGTCCATGACAGGCCTACAATAAATACCTGATTGCTTTTTACGAAGAACCTATTCGTCTTTCCAATAACCCCAAGTCCAACAATTATCTATGGAGTAGCTATGTGAAAGCATGATTTTTTGAAATAATCTTTAAGACTTTTTTATTTTACATTATATTGCATTCTCTAATTTTAATTTGTAGATGTAGATTTTTTTTTTTTGAAAACTAAAAATGGCAGAAATTACCAAGATGCCCTCCATCTCACATCTTTTCCCTGGACACATAGGAAGACTACATTTCCCAGCCTCCATTGCAGTTTATGTTGGCATCATGAGACTAAGTTCTAGCCAATGGAAGTGGCTGGACAGGGACATAATGCCATTCTTTCTAGACTTGGCTGAGAACCTCCAGAATAGTATTTTTCCGTGCTTTCTCCCCGTGTGTACAGCTGGAAGCAAATGGCTCTCTGTCAGAAGCCCTGAGTGCCCACTCAGAGGAAAGCTGAGCAAGCCACCAAGTTGTGTGCAAGGAAGTTTCAATGTTTTAATCCAATGAAATGTGTAGTTTGTCCCAACATCATCTTAACCCAGGTTTCTCAGCAGCACTGGTGACATTTTGCACGGGGTACATGGTGTGGGGCTGCCCTGTGCATCACAGGTCAGCACCTTCCTGGCCTCGACTAGGTGCCAGTAGCACCTTCTTCCCTCCAATTATGACAACCAATGTCTGCAGACATTGCCAATCACCCCTGGGAGGCAAAACTGCCCATAGCTGAGAACCGCTGATGTAAGCCTTCTGGATAGGTGCCAGGTGGGGGGTAGGCATGGGACAGTTCGCCTGAGAGCATGGAACGGCACAATACGTTACATAGGTGCTTATTTTAAGATGACTGCTTCATTGCAGCACTGTAACTGTTAAATTGGAAGCAGCAAAGGTGTGACAATACAGAATTGGTTGAATTAAGGTACATTAAAGATGGAGCATTCTGTACCCATTAAAGATATAGACCTAACATTTGGAAGGACATGGAAGGACATTCTTGTTTACTGAGCAGCAACAGGAGAGTGTGTGTGGTATAATTTCTTTTTTAAAACTGTTTTTATTGATTTGAGAGAGAGGGGGGGGGGAGAAACAAAACATCAATCGGCTGCCTCCCGTACATACCCCAACCAGGGGATTGAACCCGAAACCTGGGCATGTGCCCTGACCAGAATCAAACCAGTGACCTTTCAGTGCAAGAGGGATGATGCTCCAGCCAACCGAACCACACCCCCCGGGCTAACCTCAGGCCTGTTTGTGCCTCTAAGTTAGGTTCCCTTTCATGAAAAGGTTAAACGTTGTAGTCTATAAAATTCAAGGTTTATGAAACATAGAGCATGTCTATCTCCCTGGGTGTGTGACGAGCTGAATGGAACACATGAGAACAAGACTGAGATGGTTTTTAGAAAGGCCTTTGGCAATACCTAACTAACTGCCCAAATTCCCACCGGGTGGTACAATTTAGGTTAAATAGTCTTAATCTACTTTTGCTTTTTCTAAATGTCACCCTCCACCCCGAAGCCTTGGATGATCTAATTTTGCAAAATACAAACTAAGAAATGTATTACCCCGTTTATCAGATTAGCATTAAGCAGGCGCAGGCTGTTTATCCCTGGAAGGTTGATTGTCCACAAAACGATCATACTTTGAACTTAGTTGGAAGAAGTGGAAAGATAGTAATGCTCAGTGTGTCGTATTTGGGTAGGATATGCATCCAAGTTAAAGAAATGCAAAGCTTCTATTTAATGAACTGATACTATTATTACCCTCATGTGGGTCAGCTTCTAAAATCATTGACAAGAAACACCTACTTATTCGTGAATAATACACAGCAGTCTCACTGTGGTAGTTTTCCCTGTAATTCTGTGAAGGGACAGTTTAGATTACAGACATGGACCTATGCTGACAATGATTTTTATGAGTCGTGGTGCTGATTTTAAAATGTTGAATTGCCATCGTTAAGCCTTCTGGTGAGTGGGTGATTCTTCATGTCATGGTGTCAGTTTTGCGGACTTCCTCAGAACACCCATTCTGCACATGAAATTCAATTTCACCTGAAGATGCTTATTTTTCATCTCTGGTAAAGTTGCTGTGTTCGATACACCCTACGGAATGTTTTCTTGGTGTGAATCTGCCCAGGCCTTCCTGGAGCCAGTGCCAGGAGGCCACCATGTTCCACAACATCCTTGCCCAGTTCAATGTGCGCTATACAATTTCTGACAGGTTGATGAATTTTTATCTTATTTTTTGTTAATTCTCACCCGAGAGTATTTTTTCCATTGATTTTCAGAGAGAGTGGAGGGAGAGAGGGAAAGAGGGGGAGAGAGAGGAAAGGAGAGAGAGAAACAGCGATGTGAGAGAGACGCATCGATTGGTTGCCTCCCACACCTGCAACGCAGGTACATGCCCTTGATGGGGAATTGAACCCAAGACCCTTCAGTGCGCAGGCCGACGCTCCAACCACTGAGACCACTGGCTTGATGAGGTTTTAGACAGCAAATTTCTTAGTCCCAGAATCTGCTTTACTGAGTTATCAGCAGTCACAGGGTGAACGTGGCCTGCTGAAGGTTCCTTTTTAACTAACAGAATAAAGTACCAGTTGAGGTCTGCTTTAAGTTTTTAATATAAACTGACATGCTTAGTTCATGTTTAACCAAAGAAGAAAAGAGCTAAATAAGTGCTCCAACACAGGCGACTAATTTCAGTTCTGTATTTAGAACTAATTTGTCCTGGCGGATGTGACTCAGTTGGTTTGGCGGCAACTGGTGCACCAGAGATCTGGGGTTCGACTCAAGTCAGGGCACATGGGGGGTGAGTAGGAGGCAGCTGACTGATGCTTCTATCTCATCAACGTTTCTCTCCCTCTCCCTTCCTCTCTCTAAGAAAATCAATAAAAACACGTTTTTTAAAAAAGAACTAACTTATTACACTGTCATTTTTTAAACACTGAATGTTTATGTTATAATGGTCAATATCAAATATATTCTTGTGTATTTAAAGGAAGGACAATTCTTATTCAGGCATGCACTCAATGTTTTAATTATCTGTAAAAGGAATTTGTTAGCTTTTGAATAATGCTATTTTACACTGTACAAAAGACAAAAATTAGAATAAAACATAACTGCAAAGGGCTCACTTTCTGCCCATACAAAACCTCTCCGTACACACGCAGAAGGGCGATCACGCCTCCCGCACCTGTTGGGGCCAGCGCACCCGATGGCTGAGCCCCCACGGCACCTTCGAACTTCTCTGTGATCGGACTGACAACGATAACGAATTAATGTCACGGGAGTGCCACAGTAACGCTCTCGAAATATTTTCCCTATTTCTTGAAAAAATGTTTTTAATGATTTCAGAGAGGGAGGGAGAGAGAGAGAAACATCAACGATGAGAGAGAACCATGAACCGCGGCCTCCTGCACGCCCCCCGCTGGGGATGGAGCCCGCAACCCGGCAGGTGCCCGGACCCGGAACCCAACCGCCACCTCCCGGCTCCGGTCCGCGCTCAGCCTCGGAGCGCGCGGCGGGGTGGGGAAGGTTTAAAAAGCAGCTTCACTGACAGTTACTGAAAACGCCTCCTCTGGGCGGGTGACACGGCGGCAGGGGAGGGCTGGGACCCCGGAGGAGCGCTCCCCCGTCCCCAACCCGCGGGCCCCGGCGGGTCGGGGTGGCCCAGGTCCGGGCACTCGCGGCGGGACTGGAGGGAGTGCGGGCGCCTCCCGGCCTCCCGGCGACAGGATGACGTCAGAGCGCGGACGCGTCACCGCCGCGTCCTCCGCGGCTCCGCGGGGAGCAGAGCGCGGCTCAGCCCACAGCGCCGGTCCCGGCCGGAGCGGAGTGGCGGGGAGACGCCCACCGGCGGGGC